ACCGGGCGGCCCCGGCCCAGGCCCGGCCCCGTGCATGCACCCCGCTGGGGCCCGGCCGCTGCCCTCGGGCGCTTTGCTGCCGTCTCCGGGCTCGGCTCCGCCCCGCCGCTGCCCCCCGCCGGCTCCTGGCTCCGGGGCGAGGGGGCAGGGCAGCGATGCCAGGTCTGAAATCCGAAGTGATCGGCTTTGCTGAAAAAGTGTGCAAATAAGTCGCCGTCTTCTGTACTTGATCTTGCTCCCTGTGACTGGGTCTTCGAAGTGGACCCCAAAGTCGGTTAAGACTCCCTGAGAGTGGTGTGGGTTTTGCCTGTGCTGCATCAATGAGCTGCCTCAAATGATCGGGGTTTTGAGCGCTTTTCCTGTTGTTGATTGTACAAGGGTTGAAATTATCACATAAATACAAGGCCGGGCACAGGCATGAACAAATCAGGCAGCCGCCTGGGGCCTGGATACAAAGAGGGCCCAAAAATGGTGGTGGTATTATTATTATCTGTAGTGAAGGGGGGCCTGATACTAAAAGTTGGTCAGGGGGTGCCTAGAGTCTAGGTGCGGTGCTATATAAATAAGATAGTTACTGTACACCTGGCAATGCTGGAGCAGGGTGCTGTTGCCGGCTCCAGGTGCCTTTGCACCTGTGGCACGGCCCAAACTTGGTGCCTCTCCTTCTGCCGCTTTGCCTTCTCTCTCCCCTGCCACATGAGTCCTGCCAGAGTTGGGGACTCCCTTTGCTTCCCAAGCTGGTGGATTCCCCACCAAGCACTGGGTGGGAGACAGCTGTCTGCAAAGGACTGACCTGTCACTAAGGCCCCCACTGGTTTTTCCAACCATTTTGCTGGAAATGAAACCGCATGAGACTGACCGTGTTTTATAGAGACAAGATGCTGGCTGCCCAGGTTCCCCTCTGTAGCAGGCTCAGGAGTTCTATCTCTGTTAAGTGTCGGGGTTCATGGCAGTTTTAGGAGGAGTTTTGATTTATGGTTTAGATAGGGATGGCCCTGCCTCAGGCAGGGGATTGGATTTGATGGCCTCTGGAGGTGTCTTCCAACCCAACCGCCCTATGATGTGGGAACTCGCAAGCAGATATTTTACACTAGCTTCTTTTCTTCTTAATTGGTACGGTAATCCAGAGCTGAAAAACGTGTGCAGGATTTTAAGAAAATGTGCTTTAAACTCACAGTGAACATAAGGCTGGTGATAATGCAGGGTTCTTGCATCTAGATCCAAGGGTCTTGTAGCCCAGGGGAGATGCCACATTGGAGTTCTGCTCACAGTCCTCGCACCTATGTTTAAGAAAAATAAATTGTTCTTCTGCTTCTGTGTATGGCACGTTTTTGATGGCACAGCAGAGTAAAATCAAATTAAATTAATTGTTTCTTTACGTTAACCTTTTTGGCCTTTTGAATAAGTGTGGGACTGTAGATGTAGGATGCTTTACTCTTCCCCTCTGTCATCCAGCTCTGTAATGTTCGTTCTTTGTGCACCCCGAGCAGAAAGGAAGGATTCTATCTCTGGCTTCTCTTTCTCCCTCGTTTAGTGGTGTTAATGAAGTGCTGAGCCAGTCACTGAATGTTGCTTCTGCTGACTGCCCTATGTGGAGGAACAGAATAAGAGAGAAAAGTAGATGTGAGATGAGAAGGGGAGAGGAGAACTAAGAGACACAAGAAGTGCTGTCAATAGCTTAGTGACATATCGGCATATGAAATGGAGCTCTATCATGTTCCTTTATGGAATGTCAAGGACTTGGATATATCTTGTATTTGTTTTAGCAGCCTTTTTCTTAAGGGATTTGCCTCATAAATCTGATCTATCAGCCACAAGAAAGATTGCTATGATGATAAAATCTTCATGGAATTGGAGCTGAAGGGTGGGATGAGCAGAAAGATTGTGAAAGGTCTTTCTCATTGTCAAGAGAAGGAAGGGAAGCTCTTTTTTTTTGTTTGTTTTTGTTTTTTATTTAAACTGAATTGGACCGTAAAACCTATTCTGGCATATGAGCAAGTGATAATTCTTTCCCATCCCCACAGAAGATTCCTCAGGGATCCAACTTCCATATCTTTTAACATGCAAATCCAAAGGATCGGAGGAAACAGATGAGTGGAGAAGCAGAAATATAAGATGAACAACTTGACTTTGGTGAAGAAGCTTGTAACTCAGTTTTGTTTCCTATAACCATCTGCCTATTCATCTACTGTTTGGTAGTAATCTTTCAGTTACAGACCTTTGGAGAGGTGATCCACTCCAGACAGGAACAATGCTTGAATTATGTCTAAAAATGATAACATTCTGTAGACTTGCCCACTCTAGGTGTCTAGGTAGACCTGGGCCCCGGGTCTACCTAGACACCTAGAGTAGTAAATGACTTGAATAAACATACAGCTTCAGTCTTCCATTTCCTAAACACACATTGAGACAGACAACATAAGGCTTCATGGTAATGGTAAATTCCCACACTCCCCATGCTGTATTCAACCAAGTGAAATGGACTGCTGCCAGTTCATTCATACTATTTGATGAAATACATTATTACCTACAAAAACCTCAAGCCTCTGAATGAGTTGGAGCAGGGTGTCACCTTTAGAAACTGTCCCTGTCTTCTTCCTGATTTAGATTAATACGTCTAATAACCACCCCTGTGGACATACTGCACATATCTTTCCTTAGTACATGGATTTCCAGTGTAATGGTCATACACTTCAGTTTTCTTACTCTTGTATAATACTGGACCACAGCTGCACAGTTGGGGTGAAAAACATGTCTTTACACAATACAGTTAAAGCTTAGTAATTATAGCAGCTGGTGGAGGCTCATGGTTGTCTCTCTACTGGTTCAGTGTGTGCATTTTGGTCAGACTGTACACCCCAGTGAACTATGTATTTTGTCTAGTTCTGATTTTTTTCCATCCAATTCTTTGTAGTAAAGGCATCCAAAAATACTGCTCCACATACTGTTGTATACGTCCCTGAATAGGGTTAGTAAGGACAGCTAGATAGAATACCTCTCCAAACGTTTCTTAGGGAAAAATAAGCAGAGTACTCAATGAAGGCATATAAATAGTTGTGATAGCAGAAGAGCTGCTCGAAGAAACCAAATCATGTTACTTGTAACCAGTTAAGGTGACTGTTTTTAACTAGGTAAAACACAAACATGTTTAATGGTGTGTTGTGTGTAGAGCACTCACATTTTTTTCTCACTTGAAGTTTTTTTTTTTTAAATGAGCAGAAGAAAATTGAGGGCGAAGGGTTATGTATTCCAACCAGAGCTAGACATCTTACCTCATAAAAATGAATGAAGTGTGTGGAAGTAGAGGTCATAACTCTCAGAATAGCAAGAAAGCTGCCGTTTGTTTGCCTGCCGGCAGGGTACTTTAATTTCATTTGGTTTGGTTTTTGGGACACGGGGAGGCTTTTGGATGCTTGTTAAGGAGGGCTCAGCAGAACTGAAGGGGAAAAAAAAAAATGGGAGTAAAATGGTTATGTGACCCCTGCTGACTTGACTCAAGTTCTTATCTAATATTTAGATGCAAGTCCCATGCTGTCCACACACAAGCCCTTACTGTGATTTCTGTGGTCTCTGAACATATGCCCTTAGCTGGGTAAGCAAAGTTACAGCATAGATTCCATTAATGCAAGCTCTTAATTCCCCTACTTTGCAGTGAGGATGCAGTTGAAGTACAGGTTATGGAATTCAAACTGGAACTCCTCCAGTGCCTTTCCATAGTTCTCCAGGCATAACAGCCTTTCTGTTTGCTTCTCACTTTCATCCTAGGCACCAGAAGCCACCTGTGGCTTATGTATACTTGGTCAGCATTTAAATTTCTTGCTTCATACTACCAGCTCCATTTTTGTACAGAGCAGCTCACCTCCACCTTTATGCACTAATGCCCCAGAGACCCTCATCCCAGCATTCTGCTATCTTGCCAGATGTTTGCACCATGGTTCTGATTGTCCTCTGATGTGAGTGTATGAAGGAATGTGACTTCCGGAAATGTACCTTGAAATGCTCACATAAAGATGCTGCTTTAAAAGAAGCTGGAGGAAGAGGGCATCAGGTGAATGGCAGCCCCATGTTGGGTGTAAACTAAAGGCTGCAAAGGCACATATTGCAAGGATGCCAACTAAATAGATAGCATGTCCTTGTAGTGGACATTTGGGGACAGGTGGATGGGGAGTTAATTCCTAGGGCAATGTGGAGTGTTCTGTCAAAGCTTGTTATCATGTTTGACAGACTTTTAAGGCAGCAGGGTCTGATTATTAGATGAGGAAACAACAACTGGAGGCAGCAGAGGAGGGAACCTTGGTAGTGAGGCACGGATCAGAAATGGACCTTGGACCTGGAACAGGCCATGTGGCTAAAAGATGCTCTCGGACCAAATTTCCTGGCTGTTCTTGGTGATAGCCCCCAGGAATGGATCGGAGAGGAAACCAGCATCAAAGCCAGAGCCAGGTAAGACAGCCACTACTTTTGTTGTGGAGGAAATTGCAACATAAGTGAGAGGGTTGTGCTGTTTTATAATCAATCCAATTATTGTTATGGATGGTATTCCATGCTGTGGTGTAGCTTTGTTTGCAATTGAAGGTAGAAGCTGTTCACTTTCCTGGCTTCCTTGTCTACCCTCTCCCACCATATATTATCCAAGATGGGCTCCAAGCAGACAAAAAAATTAAATGTACACCTAGTACATTATTCCCATTAAGACATGTAATAGGTTGCTGTTGTCACATTTATTCAAAGTTGGGATTTCAGGCTTAACAAGCATCTAGAATCCAAATGCTGGCTCCATTTATAACTGTTATAGTTAGTAGCATTTAAAGTGATGTCCCATATAGAATGTATTATAAGGCTTGCTGGCAGTATTGAGTGGAAAAGTGCCTTGGTGCTTGGCCTCCTTTATGTTCTTGGGTCTCAGTACACTGTTATGACAGGGTTGAAAAACCCTGGAGCTTGTTCAGATATCTGCTGCTGGTTCAGCTTTCTGTTAATGTTTCATAATTTCTGGCTAATAGTGCTTAAGAATTTCTGGTACAGGAGAAATTCAAGACAGTCAGTGAGATTCTTGGGCAAAAGAATCTTCCCAGGCCAGCTCCTCTATTTACTAACCTTCTCTGGTCATTCATATGCTTATTAGTTATCAGCCAATAAAATAATGGGTTGATACATACAGCTAGTTTTCTGTGGGAAGTCCAGAAACATTCTTATATTTTGCGGTCTGGGACCTCCAGCAAATTAACATCCTCCAGTGCTACTGTTGCTGATAAGAGACCACTGATCTAATGGCCAACCAGAGCCACAATGCTTTTACAAAAAAAAAAAAAAAAAAGAATTAAATATTTATTTATTTATTTATTTATTTTTTGACTCTGTGAACTGGTAAATTGGAATACAGTTGTTGCTAAACAAGTAGATGTGTAGAGATGAGCTAAAAGATGTGAAGTAATGAGTATCATTTTGTGGGCTTGTAACAGAACTGCATCTGTCTCTACATTCTTTCTTAAATATAACTTCCTATTTCATTGTTTTGGCAGGAGCTTCCACCTCTGCGGAACCAATTCAGAACCCCCATGCTTCTTCTGGAGAAAACCCTAAACCTACAGGTGATGGGGGGGCGGGGAAGAGGATCAGGGACAACCAAGAAATGCGGAATGACTTTGGCACAGCTTAGATAAGCATTTTAAGCTGTTGAAGTAACAGTTTCTAACTCCTCTACTTGCAGCAGATGAAGAACAAACTTACTGCAGACTCCCTCGAACACTAATATCAGCTACAAAAGGAATGGTTGCTTTGGCCAGCAGGCTGTAAACTTATATTTCATGATATCACATGTCAGATGCACAGTGGACACTGGATAATTCTGCTGGCAGTCAGTCTGTGCACTCCTGGAATGGAAGCGTATCTGGGAAGATGTACCGTGTTCTTTCACACTCTGTGCTTCCTTCAAGTAAAGTGAATAGATGTGCTGCTGATGTGCAGTTTCATTATTTGGGTGATGGCATGGATTGGGGCAGGTAACATGGTGTTATCATCTGGCATCTGGGCTGCCTGTTTTGATTCTTGGAGTATTCTTGTACTATTTGGGTATTCCAACTTTATAATAAAAATGTTTGGCTATAACTTCCTGTCTCAGATTTTCCCCAAGTACTTGCATGATGCTATAGCAGTAACAAAGGTTTTAAAAAGACATTTAGTCCAGAGTGGAAAAACCGGTGTGTGTATGGAAGCATTACATAGCATCATATTTCCCCATTCGTTTTCCCTTTGCAATGCAAATATATAGGCATACAAGATGCACTGTTATTTCTGTTGTTGTCTTTGACTCATTCTCAGTTATCAGAGGTGCATTCTTCCATTTGCAGTCCAGTACAAGCAGATAAATAGTGTCCATTATCTTCATAAATGTAATGCAGAATGCCAAAATAATATCACAGGCATTGGGCTTAGCAGCACTTTAATGGGTCTGTAGGCAACAGTGTTCTTGCTTTGTCACCCAGGTGTGTTTTATCAGTCACAATTGTAATAAAACACACCAGTATTCTATCTGCTGTTCTTATCTTGATGTGCAACTTAATTAGGGCACAGAAACACTAGTGATGCCCTTATTCCTCCCAAATATGGTTCCTTCTTGTCCAAACAAGCAAGCAGCAGATCTTCTAAACACCCTACTGGCGTGCACATTACTGGTGCATCTCATGATGGTGTTTAGAACTTGTTTATCATTAGGCAGGCCTCAGTCAACCTGAAAAATTAGTATCCATTCTTGTTCCTATGCTTGTAATAGGCAGATTTGTGGTCCAAATAGCACCACTACAATTTAGAAATCCCAACTGTTGTTTCAGAACTTGTTGTGATTTACCTATGGGTAGAGGATGCTGCTATAGCAATAACCTCACATAGCAATGTGTCTACATCAACAGTTGGCTGACCAACACCAAACTGGTTAACGGCCTACCTGTAACAATCTGAGGTGGTCCGTTTCTGGTAACAAGCCCATTTGTGGTCTGAGATGGCTTTCATCATCCACATATCTGGTGCTGTAGTGTCAGGGCAAGTCTCCATAATTCTGTGGTCATCTTCCTCATGTGGATGCGGGTTATGAAATGTCTCTTCTCTATGCCTGGGGCCCCCTCTCTGGAACTGCTGGTCAGCATAGAGGGAATATACAGTGAGCACAACTACCATTCTGCCATGTAAACTTGCATGGTTTTCTTGCCCAGAGATGCTGCTTCCACCTTCTGAGTGTCTTCCACTACTTTTTAATTTCCTTTGTCTGCAATTTGCTGTGTAAAACAGTGAATCCAAAAGCAGACATTGCTCATCTCATTGTGCTGGACCCATGCCCTTTCTATAGCTGGGATAGGCAAGAATGAATGTGTACAGCTAGAGCCACTTCTAATCTGCCACATTGGACTAAAACATGTCTACAGACAAGCTTGAAAAGGATGGACAGGCAGTTCCACAAGCATCAGGTAACAACCACTAGAGCAGTTTAATTGCTTGAGTATTGAGGAGATTGAGGTACACCCTCAGAATTTCAAAATGCCTTACAACAGCATCCGTGTAAAAGCAACTATTTAGGTGCAGCTTGCAGCATGATGCTTGTGGTCTTGACCAGCTGGGGGTAGGCTCCATATTGACTGCAGTGAAAAGCAGAAAAATGAACATGGTGGGTTTGCTAATCCCATGACTCTTTCAAAAGCAGCATTAAGTTGTCACGATGAAGTAGATGACACTGTTGGAGTTTGTGCTGCTCCTAGGGCTGTGGACTTCTTCAGAGAATTTTGATGTTTGTTTCAGTAAAATTTTCAGTTTGTCTTAAACTTGACCTGCTCTAAGCCTAGAGGAAATTCAGAGCCATCTGGGAAACTGGTATCATAAAAGAAGCTGGTTAATAGTTATAGATGTAGTTTCTGTTCTGAAAAATTAAGTCTGAAGGTGAGTGACAGACAGTGGGAGAAGGGAAATGAATTAGGCCATCATGTTTACTTTATTAAGAATATATTGCTTCTAGGAAGAGTTCCTACTCCTACCCTGTCTTTTTCCCCCCTGCTGAGCAGCCTGGGTTGTTCAAGGGCACTTACCTGACACAGCCCTTGTGTTCTAGACATGCCCTGAGGTGTACAAGTAACAAGTTCTGCTTCACAACAGAATCCACTTTTCTTGCCTGCTCCATAACTTAATTTATTTTCTTCACGTTTTAGCAAACCTAGACTTCGCTTTCATTTCCATCCACTCACCAAAGATTAACCAGCACTCAGTCTGCATAGCTATTCACTAAGGAAGTCAATGGCATACTCATGTAAGGGAAGGTTTTGTTGTGTAGTTTATAGGAGATTTTTGGTCTGACGTCTAAATACATGCTTACTAAATGTAAATCAAACTGAAAATAAATATGCTTTAGGTTACGAAGGGTCTAGTTTAATAATATTACTGACCATGCCAGATGTAGGATTGGTTATCAGTTTAAAATTTATAATGAGAAGTACTTGGGTGTTTTGAGACATATATTTCAGTATACCATTCAGACTATATATAGATACTGAATAAAGAATTTCAGAAAGTTCTTTAAATTACTTCTAGTTCATTAATTGCTCACCATTTTAGAATTGTAAAAACAAAACCACTGAACTGTAAGATTTGATGCCGTATTACCTAAGTCTAGTACATTAAAGAATAATACGTAAGAGACCATCCTTATCCAGTACCTTTTTGTAATTTTCATTTCTACCAATAATCCCAGGCAGGATTTAAAAACAAAAATTTGTCTGTCATTCATTATTCTCTAGCTTATGCAGATTGCTAGAGAACATAAAATAACAGATCACTTCTATAGCATCAGGAGACCAGATGGGGAAAAGAAAATCCATTACCTGTCAAACTTCAAGTTAGAAATGTTGGGTCATGCTTACCTTGCAAAACAGCCACAGATCACACATTCATTCATTCCCCTAGGTTCAAGATCCAAAAAACATGGAAGAGGAGAAACCCTTATTTTGCAAAATCTCTTGAAAGTTTTCAGATTTTGAAATAAGGGAACAGTAAACTGTAATTTAAAATTCATCCTGACATGCTTATATTAGACTCTGGGTGGTGACTACCAGTTTGCTAAAAAGTTTATGGGAACATACTGTTATCCATTATGTTATGCTAGGGGTTGTCAACTGGGGGTACTCAGACCCTAGGGGGTACTTGAGAAGGCCTTAGGGGGTATGTGCAGGTGGGTG